TTTTTTTTTTTTTTTGTCTTCCTCTAGTGGAGTTCTGATCATCAAGCCATAGAAGCTAGATCAACAAATTTGGATGTTCTTGTAGCACTATAGTTTTTATTTTTATTTTTGTAATAAAATAGCTTTGTTGTTGTTGTTGTTAGGTGTCACTGAATTGGTTGCACAACAGAACAAAGCACTGCCTGGGCCTGGGCCATCCTCACAGTTGTTACATTTGAACCCATAATTGCTGTTACTGTGTTGATCCAGCTCCTCTTTTTCTTGACCCTACACTTTACCAAATATGAGAGACAGAGTCTCAGAAACAACCTTACTTTGTTTTTCTGGCAGTCCATGATACTTTTAGTATTCTTCGCTAACATCGTAATTCAAATACATCAACCATCAACTCTTCTTTATTCATTGTCCAACTTTCACATGCATATGAGGCTATTGAAAAGACCATGGCTTGAGTCAGGGACACCTTAGTCCTCAAAATGACATCTTTGTTTTTGAACCCTTTAAAGAAAGTCTTTTGCAAGACATTTTTCTAATGCAATCTGTCTTTTGATTTCTTGACTGCTGCTTCCATGAGCATTTGTAGAGAGCGGCTCCAATTCTGCTCCTTGACACAGTTCCAGCAGAAAGAGAGATATCATGCAAGGCTGATAGCTCTCAGAAGTTGCTTTCTATCTTCTCTTTAGGGTAACTTTGAATTCACTTGTAAAAATATATAATATGGCTATATTCACAGCATTTCATTATGAGCTCTATAAACCTTAGGAAAAACTAGTCTGGCAACAATTGTTTTCCACTTCGGTGGATTGAATTCAAAGGAAATTGTATGTGCCACTCCAGTTCACAGAAAACCTAAGTACAAAGTAACTGCATTTATGAGATCACAAAAGCAGATAACAAACTAAAGTGAAGCTGACCAATCCCTGTAGACCTCACCACAATCAATTACCAGCCAGAATTTATAAACCCCCACTATTACATACAGGCACCTACGTGAATAGGCAGAGAATAGTGAACATAAGTGAAAGGTGGTCAAAACTTAATAATCTATATTTCTTGCAGCAGTTAGCCAGGTTGTGTCTTAGCCTCACAGCTTCAAGCGAAAGGAAATACAAAGAACACTGTGGTTAAGCAATTTAATGAACACTTTTTTAGAAAACAAAATTAAGTAAATGTTAGTAATACTTTTACTATGAAAATAATAGCATAGTTTGTAGGACAGAAGATTGATAATCACCTAGTAGAAACAATAAAGTGTAGTGTAAGCATTGATGATTAATAGAAACTTTTATTACTAAGAGGATGTAATCAAGGGTCTGATAAGTGGAAATGATTTGTGTAAGGTTTAACTTGATCTTTTAGTGGGAATAAGAAGAAGCAATTTATCATGTAGGAGAGGAGATGATGTCAAAAGGAAAGTGTTCAAAGTATCAAATCATTATGTACTGTGTAATTTTAAGTATAACAAATAAAGACTTGCTGAACCGGGCCAGAGAGAGAAGAACAAGCAGAGAGAGAAAGAGAGCCCCTTCAGCTAACTAAGCAGAGGCTTCTCCATTGCTTTCATTTCCTCCGACTCCACGTCTCCTCTGGTGTCCCACAACCCTGTGAGAGCTGGACTCCCGCAAGCATTGATTGTTGATCCAAGGAAAGTGAAATCTTTGACAACTTCAGTCTTTTCTCTGTTTATCATGTTGTTGTGTATAGGTCCAATTGTGAGGATTTTTGTTTTCTTTACATTGAGGTGCAAATCCATTGTGAAGGCTGTAGTCTTTGATTTTCATCAGTATTTCAAGACCTCTTCACTTCCAACAAGCAAGGTGTGCCCTCTACATATTGCAGGTTGTTAATGAGTCTTGCTCCAGTCTTCGTGCCACATTCTTGTTCGTATAGTCAGCTTCTCTGATTATTTGCTCAGCATACAGATTTAAAAAATACGGTAAAAGGATACAACCCTGGTGCATACCTCTCCTGATTTTAAACCATTCAGTATCCCTTTGTTTTGTTTGAACAACTGCCTCATGATCTTTGCACAGGTTCCTTATGAGCACAATTGAGTGTCGTAGAATAATCATTCTTCGCAATTTATCCATAGTTTGTAATGATCCTCACAGTTGAATGCTTTTCCATAGTCAGTAAAGCACAAGTAAACATCTTTTTGGTATTCTCTAAAGATATTATAATTTTAATCTATTGCTTTTTATGTTCATGAGTCCTAGTGTGGCACTGTAGGATAATTACTGGTCTGTTAGGTGCTGTGGGTAAATGCGCCAGACTGCCAAGCCGTTTGAACTGCAAAGTCAGCCGTTCAAGCTCACTGCTCCTTGGAAACCCTGTACAAGGTCACTATGGGTCAGAACTAGCTTGATGGCACTTAACAACAACAACAGCTACAAAATTGACAGCTCTTAACAAGTTTATATTCATAGATTGAACTTCATTCTCTATTTTAAATAATTGAAGTAATTAACTGATTCTTTGTGAGCTTTGAACCACTGACCTTGCAGTTTCAAACGACTTTGCAGTCTGACGCATTAGCCCATAGCGCCACATTCTTTAGGCTTCCAGAAAATCTGAATAATTTATTTTCTATAGCATTGCCTTTGGAGTCTTGTTGTAGCGCTGTGGGTTAATGTGCTGGACTGCAAAGTGTGTTTGAACCAGAAGGTCAGTGGTTCAAGCTCACCAATCACTCCTCAGAAACCTTATATAGGGTTGCTGTCAGTTGGAACCGACTCAGTGGCACTTAACAACAACAAGCATTGTTTTTATGTTTATAATATTATTTTATAGTCTTTTCACTGGAACTGCTAGCCTACTGGGTATAATAATAAGCAATTTAATCGTATACATGGTTCTAAACTTTGGTACATTGGGTACTATTAAATAGCATCTAAATTTGATAAGACATGTTTTATTAGGTGATTAGTATGCACATTGTATGATTATAGAATCATAATTTCAATTCCTCAAGCATATTAATTAACAAAACATGACATGGAGTATCATTTTATGACTACAACTGTTGTTGTTAAGTGCCATTGAGTTGGTTCCGACTCACAGTGACCCTGTATGGGTTTCCAAGAAGCGACTGTTGTGTTTGAACAGCTGACCTTATGGTTCAAACCAACATTGAGGTCAAGCGCTTGTCCTATGGAGCCACACCAGGACTTCGTTTTATGACTAGTACAGTTGGTATATGTTTATTAACTTAAAAATTTGTATGCTGCAATATACTCTGGGCATAGGTGGCCGTGTGCTCCAACTTTAATGTCATTATACAGTGTTTCCGAATTTTATTCTTAATTTAAAAAGTTCTCTTTTACTGTAGATCTTGAAAGACTTTAAAAACAGGCTTTAAAAACAGCATTTCTTTCACAGATAACTTAGACTAAACACATTTTTAATAATATTATAATTTTCAGCTAGCCATTAAGCTGAATATTTTCCCATATTTGCAGTTATATTATAAATGTGATAGAAGGCATTTACTCCTCTACTATACTGGTCCAGAAACTGTTCCCTAAGAACTAGATCTATTGATTTGCAGCTATTTAGAACTTTATTCTGCTAAAGATAATTTATATTTAAATGCCACATCAAGACCCCATGTAAATTTCCATAGAATTATATTTTTAAATGACTAATTATAAATTTTGTTTGCCTCTGAGCCAATTCTGACTCATAGCTTCAAAAATTTTATGGAAAAATTGCATTATCTTTTTTTACTTTTTTTCCATGTTTTATTGTGAATTATATGTTTTTTTACATGGGAGAACTTTAGGTTTACATTCATTCCACTGTACATCGTTTCATTGCCATGGTTCCAATCCCTTCCATGCATCATCAACCAACCAAAGGGTATACCCTTTAAACCCACCCCCTACACTCTCCCCCCCCCCCCCCCCCGTTCTTCAGCACACAATCCCTCTCCCTCTCTGGATCCAAAGTCCCCAGCCACTTCATCATTCCACGTCATCTTCATCACTCCACGTCATTGTCTCTGCCGCCATCTCGGGCCTCGCTGCTTCTCTGGGTAGGGTCCCGCTCTTGGCTCTTCTCCGTTGATGGTCTTAGAGACCTCTGCTCCTAGAATGGAGAGTTAATCACTCCCTTCCTTGCTACAAAATATCTACCTTTACATTTCCAACCCTCACAATCAGTCCTGATAACAATCATTCACTATTGTATCACAAGTGACACTTCTGCATTTCATTTCATCAGCTCCGCCTAGACAGATTGGATAGTAGTACTCACTGCAGATTCTGCCTTCCTCCATGCCCCCTAGCTCTAGTTTCCCTCATGAAAGCTTGTAAGCCAGTCACTTCTTGCCTTTGTAGTCCCCACCCTCCCCTGGCCTTTTAAGTATCCAATGTCCAAGTTTCCCATCTCTGTCTACTCTGTGTGTGGAGGGGGTGGGAATGTGTCTTGCTGTAAATATTTGTTCCCTCTTTTGGGTTACTGCATCCATAGGTGTAGGTCAAGGTCATCAAATTGTATCAGGTCACTCTTTTTTTTTTTTTTCCTTTTCTTTTTCTCCTGGTTGAGTTCTGATCATCCATTCATGGGGCCAGGTCACGTGGGTACCATCTGCAGGTGTGGGTGTTCTTGTGTGTATGCCCTCTCTTCCTATCAGCTGGTAGCTTCACTCTCCACTCTAGTCCTCTGTGGCCACGCCACTGACTGTGGACCCAGGAGTCCCCAGGTCTCCCCAAAATAGCATTATCTTTTAATAGCGTTGTTCCACAAATTTTTTGAAACCCTCTTGTAAAACTCCTTTTCTTATGTAATTTTATACAGTTTTAAAGAAACAGCAGTTTTTCTCTCATTACAGTATATAAGATGTTGACATAATATCATCAAAATCTTTTGGCTGTGTTTTTTTGGAATCTGAAGGTATTTGTTAGACATTTAAATTTCATGGAGTGAAATGCTGACTTGGATGGTAATTTACAGTCATGTTTGATGATTTTTCTTCTAACTTAAGTTTTATTTATGTTTAGGATTGTGGATAATATGCCTGTAACATGGTGTTATGATGTCGAAGATGGTCAGAGATTCTGTAATCCTGGATTTCCTATTGGTTGTTACATTACAGATAAAGGTCATGCAAAAGATGCCTGTGTTATTAATGTAAGTTCATAATAAACTCTGTGCCGTTTTAAAAGGGGCTTTTTGGTAGAAGGATTCGGTCTTCATTGCACAGAAATTGTTGTATCTATTGAATACAATTCAGATATTCTGTATTAAAGTTATATAGATTTGAAGTTAAACTAGCTTCAAAACCAAAACCCACTATCATCAAGTCCATTCCAGCTTACATTGACCACTGCCAGGCAGAGTACAACTGCTGCAGAGGCTTTTCAAGGCGCTAATCTTTATGGGAGCAATCTCACATCTTTCTCCCTCAAATTGGATGGTGGGTTCAAACTATCTAACTCTAAGAGCAGTCAGGTGCTTTAACCACTGTACCACCAAGGTTCCTTCAAGCTAGATTAATAATTTATAAATTAAACTAATTAAAATAACTCAGAGTCAGTTTACAGTTTTACCTCTTGTCAAAGGTTCATTTATTTCTATAAATATAGTACTTACTGAGAGTAATTACATTTGTAAATATAGCAATCTATATGCTAATTGTATGTAGATACACTATGCTGAGGGCTAGAACTTTACTTTAGCTCTATTAAAAGTTAGATTCTTAAATCTTACATTAAAAAATAGAGATAATAGAGAGTCAGAAAGACCTCATTGTAAGCCTGGTAAGTCCTTGGGATTTGTATTACAGATTAAATTTAAGCACATTAAATTTTGTTTTAAAACAGTTTGGTATGCTCCTTGGAAACCCTGTGCTGACAGTCTGTGAATTTGAATTGACTTCATGGCACTTAGCAACAACAACAATACTTTTTTAAAGCCATGTGTCATTAAGGCTATAGTTTATATTTAAAATAATAAAATTAAGGCATTAATATAGATTTCAGCTAAAAGGTTTTTGGGACTATATATAAATTTGTATAAGCACATCAGCCTGATTTAATCTCTTGATGGATAGGATATGGTAGTAGAAATTGATCGTAATACTAGTTATCTTTCATGGTTAGTGCGTTTGTGAAAATTGATTAGAGACACTTGAGTAAATTAGGTTATTGTTTTAGAGTTAGGTTACAATCATGATAGATTATAATCATAAAATCATGTGTTTAAAAGTATAAAATTTAGTATGCTTAGAGCATGTATATTCTAAAATTTAATTTTTACTTTATTATAAGCAAATAGCTTGAGAATAGTAGATAAGTTGTTTTTCACTGATATTGTTTTATGTAAAAATTAAAATAATAAGTATAATTTGTACTTCTTTCTAATTAATTTTTGGCTTATAAAATTACAAGCTTAAAACTTAGACATTTTTATGGGGAAAGATTAAAATTGTTTCCAAGCATACATTTTCATACTTGTAGGGGCTCAGAGCTTAAAGTTTTATGTTTTGAGGCTTTGTTTTCTACCTTTAATTTTAATTTCTATTTTGCAGTCAGAATTCCATGAAAGAGATACCTTTTACATCTTCAACCATGTTGACATCAAAATTTACTATCATGTTGTGGAGACTGGGTCCATGGGAGCAAGATTAGTGGCTGCTAAGCTTGAACCAAAAAGGTATAAAACTGATGCAAAGTAACTATGTCTGAAGTTAGACCCAATGTGTAAAGGATTGGCGTTCTGCTAATTTACTACTTAATCAATATTTGTCATATAATATATTTCAAATTTTAACCAAGAATTTTCTTTAAATCGATTTGCTGTTGAGTTATGGACTATGCAGGGAAGCTATACAAATACTTATGTTTCTGTCATGATAAGTGGTCGTCAGTTTTACATTCAACAAATCATATACTTTGCTTCATTACTATGATTGCAATTCCTTGTACCATCACTTAACAGTTTTACCTCCGTTCACTCTTAGGGCTTGCATTCCTCCATGTCTCCTGCTACCTTCATCTTTCCTCTGACAACCTCCTTTATGTTTCTGTCATGATAAGTGGTCATCAGTTTTACATTCAGTCATATGCTTTGCTTAATTACAATGATTGCAATTCCTTTGTACCGTTACTGAACCATTTTACCTCTGTTCGCTCTTAAGTCTTACATTCCTCCGTGTCTCCTGCTACCTTCATCTTTCCTCTGACAACCTCTTTCTTGTGTGGAGTCCTGGTGTGGTACAATAGGATTAAGTTTTGGGTGGAAAGATCTGTTTGAACTTCAAGGTCAGCAATTCAAACTCACTAGCCGCTCCTCAGAAACCCTATATAGGGTCGCTATGAGTTTGGAACCCAACTCGACAGCACTTAACAAGAAATGGTCAAGTCATTGTGCCTTTTTATTTTTGTTTTCAGTCTTAAAATTGTGACTGCTTTTCCATTTTCAGCTTGGAATAAAGGATATAAATGGTTGGGCAGTGTTCCACTTTATGTTTCGATGAACATTGCCTCAAGTATTTGCAGCATTACTTCCTATCAAAGATCTATCAGCTGTTGTAATTCCTAATTCCTACATGTCAGTAGGGGATAAGCCATTGCAAGAATATCTCTTCAGTTTCTTGTTTTTACTGTGACAGTACATATGAGGTATTTGTGAGACCCTTTTTTGATTAAGTATTCCATTTTTCTCTATGATTTTTCCCTCATTGCATTAGTCATACTGTCATGACACTGTTAGTTTAAAAAGAATGCATGCCATACCAAGATGGCAGTTTATTTAAGCTCTCTCGGTTAGTTTTTTAGAGAATTTTTTATGCTGTTCAAGTATCGTGTTTTCAAATGTTTATATTTAACTTTGAGTAATAATTTTGTGCAAATTTTTTAATTTATCATAGTGACCAAAACCAAATCCACTGCTGTCAAATAGATTACAACTCCCAGGAGATATGGTACAGGGCAGAATAGAATTGCCCCATAGGGTTTCCAAGGCTACAAGAAGGCTTTAGGAAGCAGACGGCCACACCTTTCTGCTGCAGAGTAGCTAGTGGGTTCAGATTTCCAAGCTATTAGCAACTGAGCTCCAATCACTGTTGTTTTTGTTGTTACTGTTTTTAGGCGCCATCAAGATTGTACCTACTCATACCATCCCTATACACAACAGAAGAAAACACTGCCCAATCCAGGGCCAATCTCACAGTTGTTGCTACGTCTGAGCTCCAGCCACTGTTGTTTTTGTTGTTGTTGTTGTTAAGATACCATCAAGTTTGTACCTACTTATAGCAACCCTATACACAACAGAACAAAACATTGCCCAATCCAGGGCCAACCGCACAGTCGTTGTTACGTTTCACCCATTGATGCTGCCACTGTGCCAATCCATCTTGTTGAGGGTCTTCCTCTTTCTCTCTGACCCTCCACTTTACCAAATATGGTATCTTTCTCCAGTAATTGGGCCATCCTGGCTTCCCAAGGAACACTCTGGCTGTAATTCTTCCAACACAGATCTGTTTGTTCTTTTGGCAGTCCACGGTACTTTCAATATTCTCCTCCAAAACCATAATAACTAAAATGCATCAATTCTTCTATGGTCTTCCTTATTCATTATCCAACTTTCGCATGCATATGAGGTTACTGAAAATACCATGGCTTTGGTAAGGCGCACCTCAAACTGGCATCTTTGATCTTCAACACTTTAAAGAGGTCTTGTGCAGCAGATTTGCCCAATGCAGTCCATTGTTTTGATTTCCTGACTGCTGCTTCCATGAGTGTTGGTAATTGATCCAAGCAAAATGAAGTCATTAAGAACTTCAATCTTTTCCCCATTTATATGGATGTTATTTATTGGTCCAATAGTGAGGATTTTTGTTTTCTTCACATTGAGGTGTAACCCATACCCAAGGCTGTGGTCTTTGATCTTCATCAGTAAATATTTTAAGTCCTATTCACTTTCAGTAAGTAAAGTTGTGTCATCTGCATATCGCAGGTTAATGAGCCTTCCTCCAATCCTGATGCCATATTTTTCTTCATATAATCCAGCTTCTCTGATTATTTGTTCAGCATACAGATTGAATAAGTTTGGTGAACGAATACAGTCGAATCACACATCCTTCCTAATTTTAAGCCATTCGGTGCTCCATGTTCTGTTCGAACAACTGTCTCTTGTTCTATGTACTGATTTCTCATGAGCACAATTAGTGTTCTGGAATACTCAGACTTTGCGGTGTTTGTCCATAGCTTGTCAAGATCCAATCTTCCTCATGTGGATCATGACTGCACCACTAGGGTTTCTTTAACATCTACTGTAAGGTCAGTTTTAACCACAAGGTTAGCAGTTCAGGCTCACCAGCTGCCCCTTGTAAACCTGTACTAGTGTCTCTTTGGGTTGGAACTGACTCGAAGTCACTTAATAACAACTAAACATGTATATTAAGTGCTTGGAGAACTGATGTGGCACTGGGGTTAATCTGCTGGACTGCAAGGTAGGTTTGAACTGCAAGGTTGGCGTTTCAAGCTCACCAGCTGCTCCTCAAAACCCTATATGGAGTCGCTGTGAGTCGGAATCAACTTGATGGCACTTAACAACAGCAAGTAAAGTGCATACACTTTTGATTGTTTATATGAAATAAATGTCTCTACTATTATATGTGGCATAAATAATTTAACCTCTGACATTCATCAGCATTGTGAAATATGTCCAAAATCTCTAACCTTTATTTTGCCACCTTTTTACGCTGTACTTTTATCGTCATCTTGTTAAAATGTTTCTTCCCACAGCTTCAAACATACATACATAGGTAAACCGGATTGCTCTGGACCCCCCATGGACATAAGTAACAAGGCTTCTGGGGAGATCAAAATTGCCTATACTTACTCTGTTAGTTTCCAGGTGAGTGTGTTTTTATCTTTAGTATAACTCAGAAATTGATTTTAAATTTGTACTATTTGAACTAATTAAAAAATATTAATGATTGGATTTGTCAAACAGATAAGTTGTTAATGAGTTGATTTTTGTAATGCACCAGACAACATAATCACTCTCTCTTAGTATAAAGGAAAAGACATAGCAAATTGGAACATTGATCCAGATTGTTAAACATAAGTATATGTATAATGTAAAAGGTAGAAAATAAGTATTGTTGTTGTTGTTATGTGCCATTGAGTCGGTTCCGACCCATAGTGACCCTGTATAGGGTTTCCAAGGGTGTAAATCTTTACGGGAGTAGAAAGCCTCATCTTTCTCCCGCGGAGCAGCTGGTAGTT